AGCATAATTCCGCGGTATTTTACTATTTTACGGTATTTCATCATTACAAATCTTTGAGCTGTTTCAGTCTAAGTTTTTATTAGTTTTAATGCACTAAATTTAATGTCAGAAACCAAAAAGCCTAATCAAAAAATAAATAAATAAATAAAAACGTTTATTGTTCGACATCAAACTGAGCTCATTAAAATTTCGTCTGTAAAATTAAACTTTATAGACGAATGTATGGCAACACTTAAACAGCTGTCCAACTTCCATTTTTAAAGACCAATTTTAATACGCTTTTTCGAATTCCTGGACCTTTACAGCTTTTCTTTTTATCACTTCTATTTGTAAATAAAGTAAAATTTCACCTAATTTTTTATGCTATTCTTTTATCACTACCTAGAGTCTCATAGATGGCCGTTCCTAAAGTTTAGATTCATAGTCGATTCTAGCTGTTGTCACTAATTGCACTTATTGGTTTCAGACAATTTAGAGACAATCCCAGTGGCTTCAAAATGTAAGCAACATTTGATTAAGTAATTACACTTCAAAAAAGAAAAACATAAGTTGCGAACGATAAATTGATGAAAAAAATGGGTTCAATAAACTTTTGAACACCACTTTCTTTTGCTGCTTCTATGTTTTACTTATTTTGACTTTTTTTTTTTTTAAAAGATGTTTAATCATCTTTGATCAGTCTCTAGAAATTTTTAGGAAACTTTCTATTCGTTGAACCTATCCGTATTTGGAAACTCTGTATACCGTTTTTCAATTTACAGCGATCCTTTAAATTTCTTTTCATAAACTAACCGACAATTTCCAGACACCACTGTTATTTACCACTGTCGTTTCATCACTGTACTGCAACAAAAAAAATTGCGAAGAAAAAGACCATGGGTTAACAACATCAGAAACTCTTAACTGAAGACTTTTCAAGAAGTTGTTTTAATATTGATACTATACCGAGCAAATGGCTTGAAGCGGAGGTTTAAACAAAAGATTAATTTTTATCTGTCGATGTAAAGTTAACAAAAAAGAATCCTGATGCCGTGGTTTACAAATTGACTGCATAATATGCAGAGCTGTTGTTGAACATATTTCATTCGCCATTTATTCTATAAAAAAACTAGCAACTTTTGTTTCTTTTCGTAATAGAAGCAATTCACTTTTTGAACTAATTATTGATCTAGTCATAAAATAAGTCTTCTGGTGATGCTAGACTAATACTGTTCTTATGAACAAACAAATGCTCATTATTACAAAAAAAAAAAATCTAGATTTGCCCAGAAACCAAGGAAATGATAAGAAAAAATAAAGTTTTATGCGAAATATGAGGTACCTTTTCGAGTGTTATAAGACAACAAAAAGTTAAAAATAACTTTAATTTTTTTATTTTAATGTAAAAAGTAATAGAAAAATTAACCAAAAATTTTACCGATGGCACAAAACTTTATTATTATAATAACAAACGCACTAAGTTTTTGTATAGTTATACTATCAAAATTACAGTAATAATCAGTAATATATTGATTGAAAAATCAGAAGAAATACAAAGACCGATGTTAGGACCAAAAAAGTGGTATTTATTCAGTTGGTTACTTATAACTGATGAGCAACTAGTGAGACTGCTGATAAATAAAACTGCTACGAAACAGATCTGTCTGAATTGCATCAAACAGTGACATTGGCTGTATGAAATCTCAAATACAGACTAAAGCCTGCAGAAGAGACTATAAAATCTTTGAGATGGCAGGTGAAATATAAACCTATAAAAAAACCCATAAACTCAACATAAACCTATACTTTACGATGACAATGATACTGTTGGTTTTTTTACTCTAACAACAAAGTTTAAAAATAAAAATATGCAACAGTTACTATTCGAAAGGTACTTTTTTGCAAAGTTTCTGGAAAAAAATTTTGAGGGTTAAAAATAATAAAATGTTTTATGTTGCTTAACAGGAAAAACTTTGTATTTTTTCAAGAGTATGAGAATTCGGCATAACTGGTGAGCTAAAACTGTATGTAGCTAGACCCGAAATTTCAAAACTGACTGCTTTTGATCAATCATTTCTCAGGTACCTTCTTCTTTTCTCAAAAAGCCTTTTACTGCAGTGTGCTCTCAAAACTTAAATCAGTAATCATGCTAACTCAAACCAAATCAACTCAAGTTAAATCTGATAAATTTTTCTTTAAAGCTATCGTTTACTGAAGTTATTTGATTCATTTTAAGTTTTGAAGATCCATTTATAACTACAAATTGATTTTTATTTTTCTGCTCTCTTACATTTTGCAGTTTCAGCTTCAAATGCCATTTTTTGATAAGAATTTCTTGAAGCTAAAACTTAATTTATTCTTACGTGGACATGAGACTGACGCTTGCTTCACCTGGGCATTTCCTAGGATAGTTTCATACAAGTCCTTAAAATTTTGTGGTCTTATTTCTTCACCGTTTTTTGAAAACCAATTTCGTCTTCCTGCACTTAAAATCTTAAAATTCTGCGACTCAAACTAACATATAAATTACCTTCTTCGTTGTTAGAAGGAGGCACCAAGAGCTTTCCGACTAAAAAGAATGCTTTGACAAAATTTCTGCACTTTTTCCTTAATTTTTTTATTCAAGTTTTATCTCTATATTAAATAATTTTTTTCATATTGTTACTTAATTTACTTCAAAAGTGGTTTCCCTGCTTGACTTCCGTGGATATTCCACTAGGACACTATGTGAAAGAGCTCCTTAACCGCAGTTATAGGAAATTGAAGCCCCTGTGGAAAAGCTCATGCTTGTACCCGCCAAGGCAAAAAAATAGATTTTGTTACATTTTTTGCTTGCAAACTTTCCTAAAACTTTTTTCCCTTCTCTGCAATTTGCTTAAACGATGTGCAGTGCTTGAAAGCTAGCGTTGGCAGAAAAAACTGTATAAAGCGAGCTTACAAGAATTACAGCTAGCTTTTTTCAGCAATTTTTTATAAAGAGGTTTGTACTTTATTGCGTTCAACTTCTTTAAAAATAGATAATCGATGAAAAAAGTATAATTTTAGAAGTTTTATTTAAACTTTAAAGTTTCCTAGTTAAGCTATTTTTTTCAGCAGTTCATTAAGGATGATTCTAATTATAGAACCATTTTTGTTTTTTATTTTACGGGATAGTCTTCCCAGTAAAGTACTTTTTCCTAAAAATTTTTACAGCAATAAAGAAAAATTACAAAGAATGCGTTAAATGCTGTATGCCTGTTACAAGGTAGTACTGTTTTTTGAAAATCATACTGAAGTCTGGCAGATATAAATTGGCAACTGATATAATTTCAGATAAAACTGTAGGTAAAAGCAAAACAGTAAGCAACAACTGAAAACCTGAGTAAAACTTCCGCTCATATTTTAAGGAAATTAAGTAACCATACGTGGCTCAATCTTTTGCTTATGCTGAGTTTCAATTTCTACTTTATAGTCTAGCACTAACGCTCTGAGCACTAAGTTCCTGTCTAGTGGCCTTTACTTGTAAGCTTACTACCTATTTTCGTGATCTTTCGCGAGCAAAATCTTTCCACTGGGAATAAGTCGCGGCTGCGTTATTGTGGTAAGGAAGATTTCATTGGTATAATTGCAAATCAACAAACTTAACATTATATACCAGAAATTTTTTAGTACAGCAGATAGTTAAAGCGAGTGACTTTTGAATTTTTTTTTGTGGCTGCCGGACCGAAATTGCCTAACCTGTAGTTCCGGTATGATATTTTCATAATTTCTTCATGACATTAGCAATACTATTTAAAAAATTTACAAAAACTCGTTTAAAACTCGTAATGCACTTCAATATTGGGTGTTTAAGTACCGCTACTAGTGCTGATGCTCTTAGAGACTCAGATATCCTTCAGCTAATGTTTAATAAATTACAGTCTGGTAGATCACTTAAACACGACCTATTTCTAACTGAAACACTTTCATTTACAATTCTCCTAAAACTGTTTGAAGTGTCCGCGAATAACAGTTTAGTTTTTTTGTTTTCCTAATAAAATACACCTTTTTTCAAAGGGTTATACAAAAAAGTGTTAATAAATTGCTCTAATTTCTTAAAAAGTCTAATACTTACATAGCCTTTTTAGTACTATTCATAATTTGTTGAAAGCAAAATATAAGTTTTTTTAAAGGCTTTTCACGCATAGAAAGTCTAAGCAGGTTTATTTGTCGGTTAAACGAAGTTGCTGTGATTACGCGGTACCTCTGGATGAGCAAATTAGTGTTCGTGGTGTTTTGGAGGTAGCGCCATCAGACTGTATTTAAGCAAAATATAACTACCTCACAAATGTTACAATATTCCTAGTGCTAGAAACACTGTTCATACGAAACTCCAAAAATTATACTTTTATATCCACTTAAATTCTTAACAACCTTTTGTTTGTTTATAAACTTTCTGTAGTTCTGATATACATCGAATTCATTTAATCAGTTTTTGAAATAATTGAAATACGGATCGTGCAGGGTACAGTAGTCTCTGGTTCAGTTATGGATGACTGGGTAAATTAAATTTTGAGATAATGGAGATGCCGCGTGAGTTGTTTATTTTAGCGTTAGGCTCATTAACACATAGCATTTCAGTTCGTTAATCGATACCCAACTACTCATGATTGTTTTGAAAGAAATTATCCGATCTAATTACTGTTGAACTGTGATCCTGCACCAAGCTGATGTAACAGTGCTGAACCGCGATTTGTTTTGCAAGCGTTTGGGTGTTAGAAATAAACTTAAAAGACATTAGTAATCTTTACTTCAACCATCTGCGACTTTAATTCTCTATGACAAAGAATTTTTTCTTGGTGTTGTTAGCTAGTTCATCAAACGCAAAAGGCAAACCTACAAACTATAAATTTGAAGATCAGATGGTAATCGGGTCAGTTACATTAATGCTCCTTTCCCGCAGAATATTTTTTTTAGTTTATCTTTAATGGTTATTTTTTTTTGTCTTTTTGTTAACCTTTTTTTATCTCTTACACTTTGCTCTTGTTCTGTCCATTTGTTATACGTTTGCGAAAGAAGAATTAAAAAAAATTAATTGAATGCTTGCAATAAGCATTTGCTTGATTTTTCAACAAAAAAATTTCCTCATCGCCTTACATACATTCGAAAGAAATATCATGCGACGCACAGTATAATAAATTGATGCAAGACTTATTTTTAGAATATGCAGTGATAGTCCAACCGAAATGATAACCGTTGCCAAGAAAGGTTAACCTTAGCGACCGGTCAGGAGGATTTCAATTCTCCCTGTGTAGAAGTTCTTTCGTGCATGAAACAGTGGCATATAAGCATAAAAAAACTTCTGCATCAATCTAGTATATCGCACAATATTACTGTATGTAGATACTCTTCCATTATCAATCTTTTTTTGATGGATGTAAGTCTCCAAATTCACTGGTTCTCTGTCCGCATACTGGTTTAATCAGACGGAATTTTGATAGTGGTTATCGATTTATAGCACACATTTACATACTATACAAAAATGAAATAAGAAATAAAATTGGAACTGTTAGCCGGCAATCAGGAAGTCGATACTAAAAAGTATTGTATCAGCTCGCACATTTTTCTTTCTTAGTTGGCCCTACACAGATAAGCGCTGAAGCTGTCGAAACAGCCTTATCAACGTATGTGCCACGGTTAAACACATATTTTGCCCGGAAAGATAAACTCTTTTTTGATTCGATTTTTCAATTTGGGCCACTACTAGCAGGCATAATTTTTTTTTTGCACTGAAACAACCACTCAGCTATGCAGCCACGATATGATTTTAAATTTATTCTTGCCTGACTTGGTATATCTGCCTACGTAGTGTTTAAGGTTTGCGACAAATACGGCCAGAAACTTTAGCTGATAACTTTGATGTAAGTAACTAGTTAGCTCGTTAGGCTTGGTCAATCCCAGTCTGCTTTCGTAGAATCAAATTATTTCTGACGGTTCAAACAACAGTTGGTAGCGACCCATGAGAGTGGATCAAGGAGTTACCAACTGGGTCGACTTGCAAACACTGCCGCCTTTACCGTTATTCGTGCTGCCGGTGCTTCTGCAGTCGCTGCGGTTCGGTCATCAACGATTCTTCCAGTTGTCAGAGTTCTTTAGTACTTTTTTTCCGCTCTAGAATTCCCTTGATATCGTTGCAAGGTCAAACGCTACTCTATAGGGCTGCCGCTGAGGGGTATTGCGCTGCCAAATCGTGGCCGTTATGCGACTGCGATTGCGGTGGGTTTGCAGAGGCAGCCTAATTGAAGTCTTAAGCGGCTTGGTCGCAGTCCAAAATTCGAGTGCTGATTAATTTGTCCTCTGTTATGTGCTCCGGGTGCGTTTTGGTCGAGGCTGGTGTTGTGCACTCAAGCTTTTGACTTATTTATTAGATAGTCTGTAGTTGAGTAGCATTTTTTCGTTACGTGTATTTTGCATTATTTTCATGTAGATTCACTCGATTACGATGTTGCAACATGTAAAATAGTGTTTTTTCGATTTTATAGTTGTTGATGAGAGGAAGTTTTTTTTTTTTTTGTAATACCAAACATTATGGGTGGCTTTCGTATTTTTCAAGAAATGGCTTATTAGGTGTTTCGCAGTAGTTGTATATAGCAGGATGTGTAGAAGAAAAAATTAGATCTTGGCTTAGGCTTTTTAGCACTTCCCACAGGGCTTTACGGACGTGCTAAATCATTAGAGTTAATTTGTTATGCTAGTTGTGCTTAATTTTTCTAGCAAATGGTACTGTAACTTTCTGACATCTGTTTTTAGTGGTTGGGCATATTGCAGTGATTTATTAACGCTGATGGCTGCTGTACAAGGTCATGATGATTCTGAGGATAACTTGTATCCGATCGCTGTACTGATCGATGAGCTACGCAATGAGGATGTACAGTTGCGATTAAACAGTATTCGTAAACTTTCAACTATTGCTCTTGCTTTGGGTGTTGAGCGAACTCGTAATGAGCTTGTTCCATTTCTTACAGGTTATATTTTAAGCGAATTTTTTAGGTCTTTTACCCGCAAGTTAGTTCAGTTTTGTATTCCTTGTACAGTTGTTTATTTTTGTCTCTTAAACTTTACATATTTTTTTCAAACTGCAGATACAATTTATGATGAGGATGAAGTTCTGTTAGCTTTGGCGGAACAGTTAGGGAATTTTACGCCCTTGGTGGGAGGGCCTGATTACGTACACTGCCTGCTTCCACCTTTGGAAAATCTCGCTACCGTAGAGGAAACAGTGGTACGCGACAAGGCTGTGGAAAGCTTGCGGAAAATTGCTGACAAACATTCCAGTGCTGCTCTTGAGGAACACTTTGTATCTATGATCAAAAGATTGGCTACAGGTTGGCTTCGAAATTATTTTGTGTGAAAACCTCTTTCCAGCAGCTGGCACTTCAGTACTCTGTCAAATTACACTTATTCTAAATTTCATGTTTAGTTTCTGTATTTTTTCTTTTAATATTAGTTGATAGATCGCTTCAGAAAGTTGTGGTAACTTTCAGGTGATTGGTTTACATCGCGTACGTCAGCGTGTGGTCTTTTCAGCGTAGCTTATCCACGTGTCAGTCCAGCAATAAAAGCTGAGTTGCGAAGGTAGCTGTGTTACAGTTAAACATATAACATAAATCTTCCTTTGTCTTTTAGATACTTTTCTGTCTTATTGATTGTTATAGTAGCATTTTTACGCTTATGCTTTTCTCAGTCTATTCCGTACTTTATGTCGTGACGATACTCCGATGGTGCGAAGGGCTGCTGCGTCGAAGCTTGGTGAATTCGCAAAAGTTTTTGAACCAGATTTTCTTAAAGATGAGCTTTACCAGATGTTTGTTGATCTCGCATCAGATGAACAGGTTGGTGTAAAATCACAATATTAGGGTGTTCTAAAAATTTATTACCTTAGAAATGCAGAGATGGTTTATTTCCAGCTTAAAAGTTCTACTTTTTTTAGGATTCAGTTAGGCTGCTTGCAGTTGAAGCTTGCATTTCAATCGCTGCTTTGATGTCTGAAGAACAAAGGAAGGATTCAATCAAGCCTATATTGCTCAATTTAATTGAAGACAAGAGTTGGCGCGTTCGTTATATGGTTGCAGAAAAGTTTACTGAGGTGATTGTCGCAGTATTCCTACCAGTCCTTAGTAGCTTGAGAGTAGTGTTAAGTGCTTGTTCACACTAACCGTATTCTGTCATTTTTAGATTCAAACAGCTATGGGGAAGGATATAGCATTATCTGATTTGCTTCCAGCTTTTAATAGTTTGCTGAAGGATATGGAGGGGGAAGTTAGGAGTGCTGCAGCAGGGAAGATCCAAGGTAATGTTATAAACTTTTGCAGTCAGAGATTTGATTTTTTTGTTATATTGTGTATTGATGAGTCTTATTTTTTACATTTTATTTCAATGGAATTTTTTGCAGATCTTGTTTCTTCATAGAACCTGTTCTTTAGAATTTGGGGAAAACGCTGTTTTTTGTGCATGTTGAGAAATCAATTTAATGTCTGAAGAACTTTTTTTAAAATTTTTATCTGGATACAACTTTATTCTAAAATATTTGCTGAAGTGTTCATTAGTAATTTTTATACCTTTACTGGGTTTTTTCAAGGATAACCATTATTTCTTTGGAGGAATGGCTGTTCTAGGGTTTTTATTTTGCAAAAGGTGACTGTCAGGAACAGTAGCGAGCAGTTTATTTCTACTTTCCTATCAGTTTGGTATCACAATGCCTTCTTTAGCTTTCTGTGCTGCACTACCACCTGTTGGAAGAGACAAGGCCATTCTTCAACATGTGCTTCCTGTAATCAAAGACTTAGTCTCCGATCCAAACCAACATGTGAAAACTGCGTTGGCTTCGACAGTCATGGGCCTTGCACCGATTCTTGGTTGTGATCTGACAATGGATCACTTATTACCTATATACCTTACTTTGCTTCGGGATGAAACCCCTGAAGTAAGGTTGAATATTATCTCTTCCCTGGATAAGGTTAGTCGTTTGGATTTACTTTTGTTCAAAATTATTTATGATTTTCTTGTAGAGCTTTTCAAGCTCCAGGCAGGACTCGATTTATGAGCGACAAATTATTTTTCATTTAGGTTAATAATGTTATTGGCCCTCAGCAACTTCCGCAGTCACTTTTGCCAGCCATAGTAGAGCTTGCTGAGGATGGGAAGTGGCGTGTACGACTAGCCATAGTTGACTTTATGCCGCTCTTAGCTGCTCAGTTGGTAGATGGCTTTTTGCTGTTTTTGGAAACTCCTTTCAGTAAAGATGCGTGATTCTGTTATCTATAATACTTTCTTGTAGGGACAAGAATTCTTTAACGAGAAACTATTGCCATTGTGTATTACATGGTTGACAGATCATGGTAATTTGCTATTTTCTTTACCCAATTGTACTTCTTAATTTGTTCTCACAAGTCTCACTGTTTTGGACTCACCTGAAGTAATTAATTTGTAATTGCAGTTTACGCTATTCGGGAGGCTGCGACAGGGATCTTAAAGCAGTTAACAGAAAAGTTTGGTGCTGAATGGGCTTTAAAGCATATATTGCCAGAAGTATATAATTTTAATTTTTAGTGAGCTAGTTTTGAAAATGTTATGTAAGGTTATTGATCTTTTGTAAAGCAGTACAAGTTAGTGCTTTTTTTGTTTTGTTCTTGTACGGTTCTGTTACAGGTTATTAAACTTGCAAAGGATACTAACTACCTGCATCGTATGGCATGTCTTTTCTGTTTCAATACTTTATGCGAAGTTTTGGGGGCAGACAACACATTGAAGGAAATCCTGCCAGTAATTCAACAGGTCATTTTAATTTTTTGTGTTTGGATTTTATGTTTAAAGAGTCCTTCAGTTTCTTGAATTCCTGGTTTTGATGGGTATGAAATTTGGAGATAAAAAGTTTTAGCTCAGTGATGATAATGTACCGAATGTGCGGTTCAACGTTGCAAAGACGTTACTCCGTGTTGGTAAAATTGTCGATCCAGGGTATGGAAAGTTGTTTTTTTTTTTGGTTAAAATTGAAAGGAAAGAGAAAAAAGTAAGGAGTACTCTTAAGGCACTAATTTTCAAGTTTTTCCCAGGAATATTTTCAGTATTTTTCAGTTTATGGTGAGAAGAGTACTTCTGTATCGAGAATCCGCTCTGTATTTTCATGCCGTTTCTTTCTAAATGCTTAGATGAAGTGTAACTTTTTAGGGTGGTAAATGCGCAAGTTAAGCCCATTCTTTCGAAAATGAGTAATGATACAGAATTTGATGTTCGGTATTTCGCTGACGAAACTAGAACGGGTGGGCATTGGAATTATTGTTACTCTTCAGTTTACTCTTTTTTGCCTTAATTTCTCTTGCACCGGCACGAGTTATAATCAGTTTTATTTCAGCATTGGGATTAGCTAATTAACTTCTCAATAGTTCCAGCGAGGAGAAGCCTTCAATTTGTTCTTGCACTATTGGTACAGTTTCATGATATCAGTCAATTCCTTTGAATAAGAAGTAGGAGTTTTGCAAAGTGATAAGAAGATTGTTTTTTGTTTCGTTGCAAAAGTACTCTTTTTTCAGTCATAACCTGGAAAATAAGTATTTTTGCAAGACCTCAGTGGAGTCGTAACTCTTTTAACTCTTTTAATTACCATTGGATTCTCAAGTTTAGGTGCGGTTCCTAAATTTCTGTTTGGCACAAGTTTTCATATTTTAATTTTTTTGTTTTGTCCTTCATTTTGTGCATTAAATGTCGTGTACATTACACTTTTCCTTTGAAGATGTAGTTTCAAAAAAAGTTCTAATTAATTTTCATATTATCGTTACGCAACGGTGTTCTAGATTGAACATTGTTTAGCAAAAAGTCCACGACAAAGCGACTGAACCTTTTATTATATTATAACATTTTGATACAACGCTTGCAGACATGGATTTGTAAAATACTTTGATTTCATTTGTATGGTTCATTTTTCGTTAGTGGTTCCAGCTCTTTTAAGCTTAAAGACTTGAGCAGCAGTTCTTCTCAAGGTTGTGCTTGTCTGAAATTTGGTATTATTGATTTAACAATTGCTTTTATGATATGTGTTGTAGATCGCTGTCTGAAGACTTCAAGCTGATAAATCTAGTTTTTGGAGTAATTTTTTTGTAAATGGGAATACTTTGCTATCTGCATTTACAGTTACTTTCATACTCACCAATAACTTGTTAATCTGCTTGCAAAACTGTATGTACTGGGTGCTTGTCGTGCATATCGAGAAGTTGAGTAGCTATCGCTGCCGTAGATGTTGCTGTCTTGTCTAGTAGTTCTGGTGCTTGGCGTTAACCAATATCTAGAATGATTAGGCGATTACCTGTTGGGAACTTACAGCTGTGGTTAGAGGAGAGAGGCTCACTTTGAAAGTGTACTGACTGTCATGCACCGCTTTTTGTACATATTCATTGCATCTTCCATCGGCATGTAACTGAAATGCTGTGAAGTTCAGTGTTTTTGACGAATGTAGGTTTATTATTTTAAAGTGGTTTTGGCGTGAGTGAAGCATTTGTAAGGTTAAGCACGGGAGGTCAGACAAGCGAAGAGTTCCTGCTGGTAAGATGGGTTCATTTAAACTCAAGTAATTTTCCGTATTCGTCTTATTCAGTCCACGTCTTTTAAAGTTCATGGTTCATTCTTTATATTGACAGTTTTTTTAGTTTTTGTAGAAATTTAAAGGCCAATTCAAATGTCCAGCGGTAACAGTCAGCACGGAATTAACATTAATGCAATTCCGATAAATCATTGCCTTAACTTTTCAATTGTTTAACAGCTCACTGCGGACTGCAGAATTGATTACATACCGGATGTAGTTCCTGGTTGGTGCTACCGGCCTTTCCACTCTTTCATAATAATTTGTTGGAGTGGAGAATAAACGACTGTTGTACGAGCTCAGACTACCTTCTAGCCAACGTTTAGTTCCCAAGTCGCGGACACTGTGAGAACGACCAAGCTGAAATAAATGCGTTTTCTAAGAATTTTGCAGTCAGTGTTCTAAAGATTTAGTATAGCATTATAGACTACTACTGAGTACCGCATCACTTTGGGCAAGGATCCCAAGGCTTGTGTCCAAATTGCCATACGTGTATCGCACATAAGGATATTTATCAGTATAATGCGGCGTACTGCGTTGTAAAGCCACACTGTGGAATGGCGGAGTTTTCGCTAGTACAGAACTTTGCAAAGATCTGCCAAACAACGTTGATTCTAAAAGTACTCTCCAGCAGTACTCTAACTACTGCTTAATAAATGGTCGGGGAGACTTGTTTTGTAAAGGTAAAAGATTCGTTGGAGCGGTAGAAATTTGGTCCGGCTCATACTAATTGAAAAGTACAGAATGAGTTTTAGAAAATTTTATGAAATTTTTTTGTTTCAACTGAAACTGTTATTTCATTGAGCCATTGAAAAAGTAGAAATCATTTCCAAAGTACATTGAAAGAGTTGATTCAACCAAAACTTATATCTTTTGGGACCTCCATAATTATTACACAGCTTGTTTGTTTGGTATTATTTCATTTAGGAGATTGTCTGCAGCTCAGAACTAACAGAAAATTCATCCTCATGCTATTTAAAGACTAATTATTGCGGACCATTTCGTGAAAGTGATCGTGACATGTATCCGCCGCCGTATCCATACCGAGGCATTGTGTAGTGGCGATTTTGATGCGTTGACTGAACATAGGATTGAGTCCGACGTATAGGTGCTGACGAGCGGAAACTTGAAAGATTGGAGCTTGAATGCACTAACGGGGATATGTAGTGATAGCTTGGGCTCGAGTACAACTCCATTTGCTACTGAAATTTCGTTTTCATTGAAAGCGTTGATTGGCTTTTTAAGCATTCTTTTCTATTTTTAAGGCGTCTTTAATCACCTCTGTTTCATATTCCATTGTTTCATTAATTTTCGCGTGGTTTGGAATTTATTCTGCTAATGGTCTGCAGTTTTTCACATTACGTTTAAAGTCGGAAATTGGGTGGTAAAAAATCAGCTTTGTATTATCAGTAAAAATATGGTCCTGAGGCTTTAAACACAAATCAGTGGGGTTGTGTCGCAATCTTTTGTGTCGCAAGAACACAGAAAAATGATTGAAGAAAAGAGATGGTAGACGCATGCACTTATCTTTAGAGTTAGATGATTCTATAAAATAAGAGTGAGATAACAGCTTTAAAAGAGTGTAGATTTTTTTGTTAGGAGCTTGCGGATTAAACCCTGTCGACTGAGATTTCCTGTAGAGGACCGTCTGAACAAAGCTAGGATTTTGGAAGGTAGTGACCGGTCTTTACTTTACAGTGGAAATGGAGTTTGCCGTAGCTGCTGCTTTAGTCATTCCGACTGCTCAAAGCTAGAAGGTGCTTGGTTTTGTGGTAGCAGAATTAGGGAGATATTAGAAAGGTGATCTTAGACTCGGCAGTACTGGCGAGAGGTAACCAAGGACAGCAGGAATGTGGTTAACCTTTGTTGGGAAAACCGAAGATTTGGTCTTTTTGTTAAGAAGCAACAATAAGGTGATAAAGCTGATTTCCATAGAGCAATTTTATCGCAGAAGCCTTGGATATTTACAGTAAATCAACATAAAAATTTATAGCTTTGTTGCTGCAGTCAAGTGTTCCTGGGTTCGACATCCGACCGGCATCCCGAACTCTCAAGTCGGTATCGCTTTTTGAACAGCTGCTTTCTTTTTTTTCTTGCACGGTCTATTTTAGAAAGATAGAACTTGCTGTTAATTGTAAGAGTTGGAAAACCCGAGAGTGCAAGGGTGACACAAATGATGAACAACAAACCATTTGAAACTGCTGTAACATTTCTTTTCGAAAGAAACAAAGTTGTTGTGAAAATCACAACTGCCCAGAACAAGCGAGTCTGAATTTGCTTCAAAAGGAGTTTTGAACTGTTACTGATGGTGCAAGAAGGAGTTAGAGGAGCCGAATATCGAAACGGACCTGGGGGTTTCCAAACATCAAATATTTTGATTGTTTCGTAAAGACTAGAGGTTGAGGTATACAGTTTGTTAAAAATGTCAGTTCAAGAGTTGCCGTTGTTTTTTTCAAAGCAGTTTTGAGCTCTGTGAACTGTTGCCTTCGAGAGCTCAAAATTGCTTTTAAAAAATAAGGGCAACCTTCGAACTAGCATTTTTAACAAACTGTGTACCTCGACTTCTAGTCCTTACGAAACAATCAAAATATTTGATGTTTAGAAACCCTTAGGTCCGTTTCGATATTCGGCTCCTCCAATTTCTTCTTGTACCATCACTGACTGTCGCTGTTGCTAAAAATATGAAGCAATTTTAAGCCAAAAAAAAGAAGAGTTGATCTTTGTTAGTGCACTTTGTAGAGCATTATAGTCGATTAACTGTATATGGAAATTTTTTTTGAAACGGGAAAGTTTATTATATTTAAGACGGTGAAGCAGGGCGGAAAACCAAGAGGGACATTGATGCTACAGATTTTTTCCTAATGGTGGCGCGTTAGAATCAATACCAGAAATATTTCTAAGACAAATTCGCTGGACATAAAAACAATAAACTACAGATTCAAATGTTATACCGGAAACTGCTGTTGTAATTTTAAAAATCAAAACCACTTCAATGAACGTGGTTCAAAGACTTCTCCTTTGCTACAGTAACTGCAGTTTTCAACTTTTTTCTTTTGTTGTTGAGCCATACTGATTAGCTCGATTACCAAAATCAGTGTATTCTGCAGCATAGTTTCTTTCAAAAACAATATTAACAAAATATTCCAGCAATGCGTTGTTAAAAAGGCAAAAAAGAAAGTCTTATTACAAGTTTTGAGTCACCTTAAAAGCGTTTCTAGCATTGTTTAAAACATTACAGTAATTCTAATGACCAGACCCGGCAGAAAGAAAGAATATAAATGCACCGCCAACAAAGAAGGCTGAACGGACTACTTTTGCAATAAAAAACTGAATGAAAAGTGAGGAAAAAAGGAAGATCTTTTAGTCTTTCTTTTTTTTTTCTTTTTGATATTTCTCTGACTCTTTATGCAAAACAACTACTGTTCAAAATCAGATACAATTATCTTGGAAGAGAAAACTTTTCGGTCGAAGAATTTAGTGGGAGAAGGATGTATAAGAAAGAGCAGAAGATGACTGAGGAAAAATTGGATAATTTAGTTGTCTACTTATGTTATTCACTGATAAAAATAAAACAATCATTTCTTTTTTTTTTTTTCATTTTTTTTTTAGTGGGAGGGGGAAGTTGCCTTTGCTTTTGCTGCTGCTGTTCAAAGAATTTTTCAGAAGAACAAAAACAAACCCTCGTATAAAATGCGAGGAACTGCATTCAAACAGCCTAGACAAAAAAGAAAAAAAAAAAGGGAACGATCAAGAAAATCAGTTAAACAACATCGTTTTGTGTCTGCCTGTTTGAGTGTGTCCATCAGTATGTGGTCGTAAGTTGTCAAAAAAAATTGAAAATCAAATTAATCTCTTGACTGGATCTTCGTTTTTTAAGTGCGAATCTTTTTGTACCTCATCACAGTCAAAGACAGTGGGCAAAAACTAGCCAAACAAACTATCAACAAATGTATCCCGGACACCACATGTGTATATTACTGACAAAATAATGCGGGACCGGAAGAAGAAGAGAAAATAACTGATGGTCACGATTGCCTCAGTGCGGTTCAAGGCTTTCAGTAGTTAAATACTCAGGGCGCTTCTTTCCCCTTATTGCCAGTGTGCCCACCAAATTTAGCTTCGTAATTTTAAAATTTGAACAATCACCGACAACACTGTCATTAGTATCAGAACAACGTCAACAGTATCAGCAGTAGCAGCAACAAAGACAACACATTGATTTTTTTCCATTAAGACAAGTATCCACCGGGCAAGGAGGAAAAAAATAGAAGAAACTAATGCAGTTTGAACTCCGCAGTAAGGGACGACAAGATAACACAAAAGTACTTCTGTAACCGCCTCCACTATGCAAACAACAAAATTCTTTTGAATTTTTTTCGTTCTCTCAAGTCCATTTTTTCTTGTATATCAATAAACGACAAAATTTGTATGCCTTGCTCTGAACACCATCATTAGCAGAGGGAACTTGGGAACCAGAAAAGAAACAAAAAATGAAGTGAAGTTTAAAAAAATACCAGTATATTCATTCATCTCAACGCAACAGCAACACCAGTTACATCACTTTCCCTGAGAAAAATTTCAAATCATCCCCTAAACCTTAGCAAAAAAAATCTAGCCCTCCTTTCTTCTAAGCTGAAAGAACAAATAACAAATTACAAAAACACCTTTCGTAATCCAACTTGGTGGTTAGTCACCAACAAAAAAAGACTAATAAATACTTGAGTTTAAAACCGTTTCGGATGAACCATACATTGGAATTAGATGCTATAATAAAGACGAATAGAACGTGAAAGACCCCAGAATTCAAACGACAATAACTGAAACTTTCAATCAAACAATTCCTTGATTTCCCAACCTTAAGCTCTCCGGCGGGAAGATAATAAGATAATCACTTCTTATTATTGTATGCACAAAAAAAAGACAGTAATGCCTTGTCTTTAAAACACTGTTTACTTATCTCCTTCAACATACACTTCTGGAAAGACTCACTTGCTCTACTTTCTTTTCCTTCCCTTCTGTAAAACTCCACAAAGGAAGAAAAGCATACTCGTTCCATTGAAAAATTATAAGAAACACATTCATGGGAAAATTGAAAAGGACTTGCAATCGCACGAAACTGGAAGAGGAAAATTTATGACAAAAGGCATCAGTCGTAAAACTTTGAAAAGTATGAAACTAAATAAATAAACAAATAAAATAGTCTCAAGCAATGTTCAGTCCAACATATGCCTCCGCATAATACTATTATATCAATCTCAAAAATCAACCTACGCGTACAAAGAGAGCAGTATGAAAAAATCTGGCGAAAAGATATAGCAGCCCTGCAATAGAGCTGTACGCACCCGCTATTTACAAAGAAACAGTTACTGAACGGCGATTAAGCCAGCTTTCAGTGTTGAATAGCCAGCGGGCTATAAACTTTAAATGCTTTACGTATTAGCACACAGAGCACTCAACGCTGCACTCAATTACGTCTTTAAGCTGCTATACCTCTGCATCACACGCTCACATAACACCCTCTCTTACGAATCACTCTCGACAACTGTCAAAAAATTCAAATTTTATACACCCCTGGTATGAATCAATCCTCTACAGTAAAATTTCCACATATCATTATGTAACCGATAATGGGAAATTTTGAGTTTGGGCATGATTTCTTTAAATTCAAAAGAACAATGCCAACTAGCAAGTATTTCTAATTTCAATTTTAGTTTTTGAACTACTAAAAATTAACAAAGAAAATCTTACTCTCAGTGAATCTTTAAAACAACTGAGCAAAATTAGTCCAGCAACTTATCGACAGTCCATTTTTTATACAGACCAAATTACTCAATCAAAAACAAGCTTCTTGCGCGCAGCTGGAGAACCGCTTCCATCGTAAAATCGTCGTCTTTTTCGTGTCTCTGCTTTCCTCCCTGAACCTGGCATAGGTAATTCCGAATCGTCACAAGCATAAGGCATCTAAAAAAATCTTCCAATACGCAAACTGCGAAAAGTGATTTAAAAAATAAATACTAAGAAAAACACTCGTGTTCCTCAAAATAATAAAATGCAATACTAAAAGAAAACGCGACTTATTACCGCTTGGAAGTAATAAGAATGCAGCGCTTGGGTAGCAGTCCAACGTTTTAGAGGGTCGAATCTAGATCAGCTCACAAATGATAAATGGAATTTAAATTTGCAAAATATATTGAAATCAAAAACAAGAGAGAGAAGAAAAGTAAAACTAAAAGTTTAAAATGACCTCAAACACTGGTAAATCAGCTCTATCAAGTCATCGCTCGCAGCTGTAAAGACACTTTTTAACGGGATTCCAGGCAAAGGTTTCATCTGCACATAATCTGGTAAGTCAGTCATTAGCTAAAAACCGCACCACAGTTTAAACTGATAACACTCCCCTTCGCAAACAGTGTTAATTACAGCTATTTTTAAAAACATTTATTCAGACTTCTACACAGTTCTTTGAAACGAATTATCGTTTGGTATCATCGGTGACACAAGTGAAGAACAGTAGCAAGTAAACTTACTTCCCATTCCTCAACTGTGGGAGTGCCCAAAACAGTATATATTTTGTCAAGCTGGTCGAGATCTGAGTCGCCAGGAAAAATAGGGTTCTGAAACCAAATCTCCTCAAAAAATTGGTCTTTAAATTTTTTTGGTCTTAAGAACAACCCTAAGCCCTTAAAAAACGAAGACCTTTAACTAAAACTAATTCACTCTAAAAACATCCAAGCTGAGCTAAAACCATCGGCTGGAACTCACAGAAATACTTAAAAGACAGAAGAGTGCCTCGCTAATACGTTCGAAAGTGTTTACATTCTTGATTATTAACAAATTAAGTTTCTACAGAAATTTGCTGTAAACTACATTTAACTCTAAATTATTCTGGTAATTAGTATCCTTATCATAAATGTATGTAATTGATGTGAAAAAAGTTTTGAAAAACGTGATGTACGTCAGAATACTCAGATATCTTATAATATACAAGAATATTTAATTATTTATTAGAAGCAAAATTCTTTATAAAAGTAAAAATGACGTTACTCTTAGAAGGAGTTCAGCAACGATACAGCCCATAGCCCACATATCAACACCAACTCCATAAGACCGAGCAGCATATAAAAGTTCTGGTGCCCTATACCACCTAGTAACAACCTATAAGATATTATAAATTAATTTCATAGATTGTAACTGGCTGCTGTTTCATTAAAATCTACCATAATCCTTTAACAGCAAAAACTGATAAAACTGAACCAAATAATCAGAAGTAAAAGGAATATCTCTATGCTTCCAGATCACGAACTTGGTGCGTGTAATTCCTGTTTGGTGAACCAAAAAATCTGGCTAGACCAAAGTCGGCAATTTTTATTCGACCATTTGAGTTCATAAGCAGATTATTTGGTTTCAGATCCTATAAAAACGTTTTTAAAGTAAGATAAAAGAGTAAAATTTGACAAACTGACTCCTTGTATTGATTACACTGAATTCCCATGAAGTTCTACTAAAGAACTACCTTATCACTGATGCTT